CAGTGACAGTGACAGTGACAGTGACAGTGACAGTGACAGTGACAGTGACAGTGACAGTCAACATAGCCATCCAAAGGAAAGATCTAAGATTCCATTAATACATGTTCATAAGCTAACAGTGGTTAGCTGAGTACCACTATTAAATATGCCACTTCCACTATGAAAAAGAACATTGAGAATTATTCTGTAAAAATAATTTACATAATAAACAAACTGCATTAACAGGGTTCATACTCTTTTAAGCTCGTCAAATTCCATGACTTTCCATGACCTTTTCCATGACCTTTTCCTTTTTTCCATGACCTTAAGTTTAACTGTCACTTTTGAAAATTCTCAAAACTATCCTTGTTTTAGGGTCAAATTTGCATTATTTTTTGCAATCTCTGGCCTTTGCCAAAATATGTGTAGTTCAAATTGCCCTGAGAGCATCTGCATGGGAGGCTATTGCTCAGTGACTCGCCTTTATTATAATTTTGTTCTTGTTTTGACATCTGCAGTGACAAACACACCAGGCTTAACTATTACTTTCCCTTACTTTCCATGACCAACAATTATATTCCATGACTTTCCAGGCCTGGAAAACAAAATTCTTGAATTCCATGACTCTCCAGGTTTTCATTGACCCATACAAGCCCTGATTAATTATAAAGTATTTAATAATAACTTTAACTCACATGTAACAATACTCACAGGAAAAGATGCTTTACACAGGAACTACAGAAGAAGTGGCCACAGCTTGCCCTTGTTGCATCCCTCAACACAGATTGACAGTATTCACAGATAAACTTGTCTTCGAGGTTCTGCTTGTCCCCTTCCAATATAGGGTAACCTGGCATTTTTGTTGCACAGAAATTATTAACTCAGCTCTGTGTAGCCACTGGTTTAGGAACTGGCTCTCTATACAGCCACACCAATGCTACAGCTTTGAACTGTAAATGGATGAGATACTCAAGTCCTGACATTTGAAGGAGTCTTAGAGGAAATTTGACTGCAAAATAGAAAGTCAAAAAATCAATACATTTATTTTGAGTTACGCTTAGTGAATAAGCAAAATGTCAAGGGCCTCTCCGCCCCTCCCCCAAGGAAAGACTCCTATAAAAAAAGGAGGGGGTTGCTCCTCTGAAATTTTGGAAAGAACCCCTAAGACGTACCAAGAGTCTGTTTTGTGGGCACACGGCTTGAATTTGTTTACCCCTAAGGTGTCAATTCTAACATAACACATTATTTCCTGTCATATGTTTTTTGAATGCTCATGTCATATTTTTTTGGGAAAAGTACACGAAGTGGTTTGAACAGCTTTCAAAGCACACAATTTCTAACAAACAATTAGATTATTATGGGCTCGAGATTTCTATCATGTGATAGAGATCGAGAGTGAGTAATTATAAATCTACTAGTGTAATCATAAATCTACCGAGTAATTATAAACCTACTGAGTAATTATACATCTACTAGACATTCAAAAATTTATCTAAATCCTCTTCAAAGATGCCAAGAAGCGGCTGTCATTTTGTTAACAAGAACACTACTGCCGATAGATAGCTAGTTAAGCATAGCCAATCAGAGAACAGCATTCGTGATTGAGCACTAGTAGATTTATACCAAGTTACAATAATTATACCAACACTTGTCTTGCTGAACCAATAGTGACAGTGGATCATGTGTCATGATCAGGCGCAGTTGCCTACACTTCTGACTAATATAGTATCTATACCACCTCCCTTAGTGGAGTCCTGGTCACTTACAAGATGTAGAAGCCTAACTGAAAATTACCCAACATTTCCTCACCAAAAATGCCTGCATGTGTACTGCTGATTGGGTACTACAGCTTTACAGTTTTAGCCTGCAAGCACACAGATTATTTTTGCTTGTGAAAAAGTGACATCATGAGTCACTATTGCTAAATGTGTTTCAGGAAAATTGGGGTCATGCATGTATGCATGGTCTGTGATATTTGCTGCTCACTTTGAATTTTTGGTCTTCCGAATCATTTAGCTTCACTTGTTCCTGAAGGGCACTAATTTATATATGCTTTAATTGTTATTATATCATTATAGTGTTTGTAGCCATTATAATGCATGCTCTGATTGGCCAATTCTGGGGTATTATTCTCCCGTAATGCCCACAGGCCAATTATAATATGGGTCTGCAAAATCAAAGCAAAAAGCCATAAAATAAACAACTCATTAACCTCAAATGGTCAGTCTTCACGCGAAAATCTCAAACCTTGGCCTTGCTGCATTGACCATGCTATTACTCAGTCAATATGGCAAGGTCTCGGTCTGAGATATTCCAACAATGTCCTCACTCTCTCAGTCAATAAGTAGTTATCAGAAGGTTTAATCAGCAACTGAAGAGGTCATAGAGGTGCACAGTTTATGCTATTAAATTTCACCAGGTAGAAGAATTTGGCACCTCTGTAACTTGCCGTAATTGTTTTGCTAATACAAGTTGTTTTAGCTCATTTCTCTCACAAGATAGTTTAATTGAACTTTGAATTTCAGGGCTAGATCTCTAACAACATTTCTGGGTCTTTTTTTTGGTTCTTGTGCAGGTGGACTGTGCCCAAGATCCCTACACAGTATTTTAAGTGTACTTTTCCTCTGGCTGGGTAAAACATAGCCTCTTCAAGGCGTTCAGTCAGTTGGGGTGCAGAGTGAAAAAAGGCGAGCAAAAAAATAGGGGAGAAGCACGGTGAGAGAAAGTGAAAGAACACCTGTGGGCAAACTTAACAAAAGGTCCTTCTGCCCACTTATAGACCGCTTACAGGGACCCGTAACACGACCGCAGGCTTGTGGTTTTCTGTTGTCAGCAGATGTGTCGAGAAATGATTCTCCAGAATTGTAGAAAGAGGATTGCTGAAAACACCAAAACAACAAACAAATGTTAGATCGCCATCTGGACTCTGGATATACTCGTTCCGCGAAGCATGCTAACACCCTCTCAGGAGATCAAGAGGAATTGACGGGAAAATCACGGCATTCTTTCTCAAAGTAAAGCTACAGCTTCCTCTGATAAATAAGATAACTATGATATCCATGATAAGAAGCAACATACTGTACTTGCAAACAGTTCAAACGTCTGGGCCCTAATAACACAACATAAAAGTGTCCTTCATAAACAAGTGTGAAGCAAAGATAGGTCAAAAGACCGAAAAGTCTGGAAGAGGCTAGGTGAAACAAAGTAAGAGAAATATGTTTTCTCGCACACCACTGCGGCACTGGAAATAGGTCATGTGACCTTGATAGCTTAGGATACAGTTAGCTGATTGGTTAGCTGGCTGTTTATTTTGGTGATGGCGTTACATTGACACAATCTTGCTGCTGTGCATGTAGTGGTTTTCAATTTCTTTTTATAAAAGGCTGAAAAATCTCAAAACAGTTGGGAAGATCAGGCAAAATTATTTGATCTATGAAGACAACCTTGTCGCTGATGCTGATTTATACTACCTGTTAGGCTGAAGGATGAATGATGATGCGAAACAATGAGTGCCAAAGGCACAAGCTTCTGGAATGGTCTTGGGCCAATTGTCCCCCTCCCCCTGCCAGGAAGTGTTTTGGAGTTTAACTCCCTAAAATCCCCTTTCCTCTGTTTCTGTCAAGTTATTCTGACTGATTTCCATAAAATAGCAGGAACCAGCATGGATCTGCCCCTGCTTCTTGGCCTATAAGGATAAGCCACTTCTAAACCAAGCAGTTCCTGGGGAGGGTCTAAAAGAGTGGGTATTAACTTTTGGGTCAGGTCTGGAATAAGGAGGGAAAATGACATAGTTTTAGTCTAAAATAGGGTTAAAATTTCATGAAGCACACCACACACATGCACCCCACCAAAATTTTCAGGAAATACTGTACATCCCTGGGGTTCATGGGAATCAGTAATGAACAACTGCATGCAGATTGCAAGACAGCCGACATAATTGTCATAAATGCACAGTGAACAAACAGGAACACAAAAATTCCTTACTACCTGTAGTAGCTCACAGTAAAAAAGATATGGTTTGGATCCCACTGGACTCTCATAAAAAGGCTTTTAATGCTGGTGAATCCATTCCCAGCAACTGCATACACAGTTACATGTAAGTATGCAGTTATATTTTTCAGGCCAATTTCTTATAATAAATGGCTAAAAGAAATTATCTGGTAGACATGAAAGAAAAAATTGTGTAAATTTTCAATCGAAACAGTTTTCCCTCATTCAACATTTTAGAAAAAGAATTTGGTAAAATATATTCATGAGCAGTCTATTATTTTAGTGGTCATAATTATTGCAAAATTTGGATAAATTAGCATGCTTTCTTTCATCATCTGAAACAGCTTGACTATGATAAATCTACATGTAGTCTTAAGCTTATATTCAAACACAACACACAGTCCAGGACCTACAACCCATGAATGACAACCCACAACTCCTGACCCACCCTACCACCCATGCTAAAAAGCCTCACTGTATGGTGGCAAAAGAGGAAATGCACTTTCACATCTTTATTAATACAAAGTGGATTCTTGCATTGACATGTGCATCAACTATCATGTACTTGAAAATGAGCTTCTATGGGTGACGTGCGTCTCAGATAGCTTATCTCCCCGATGACCAATGTATAAAGTCTTAAGCTTAATATGAAAATATGGTTTAAATTGCACTTGAAACTGTTATGATAAGTTGGTTGCCCTGTGTAATGTATTGCTACCTGATCTTGAGGATCACATGTTGTGTAAAGAACTGCAATACACTCTTGAAGTTAAAGTGTGTAGACATGTACTTTTTTATACTCATAACATGGTACCACAGGGATCTCTGCAAAAGTGATTTAAAGAAAGCTTACTGACTCTCAACTCTGACAAAGAAAGTATCAAACCTCCCTCAGAATTGGATATTAATAGTCTCAACCTCACAGATGTGTGGAAGGAATGGAAGGAAGTGTGGAAATTGTATTGGATATTGAGTGGCCTTTCAGAAAGGACGATGCCATACACATAGCAACTATCCAAAGTATTCTTTAACACTCGAGAAAGCCATCAAACTATGCAGAATCACAGAAGAATCTAAGGAACAGTCAAAAATCTTCATCTCACCAACTACTCAGATGGGTAGCATCCACGCTGTAAAGAAGACAAAGCCACAGGTGGACACAGGAAAATCCAAAAACAAAGACTTGCAGAGAATAATGAAATGCAAATTCTTCACAACGTGTCATGACAAAGGAAATTGTCTGGCCTACAGAGCCATGTGTCACAAATGCAATGGAAGAAACCACTATGCTCAGTGCTGCTTCAAATCGAAGAATAGCACGGAAGAAGCGTCTTCGTCACATGAAAGTAGAGGAGCATATTGGAGGGTCTGAACATCAAGGAAATTCAAGGTAGTACTAGAAGGAACATTGAGTCAGATCTACTTGTTAATGACATTCCTGCAAGTTTTAAACTTGATACTGGTGCAGAATGTAATGTAATTTCCATAGGTTTGACTCATGAGTTGAATGCCCAGGTACAGCCAACAAGCATGCTACTCAAGTCATTTGGGAGGCACCAGCTAGCTAGATACTGTGGGCAAATGTCTTCTTGATACGAAGGTATAGGAAACTAAGGGTTCAACACCCTTGGAGTTTTATGTACTCCAAGATAATGTAAGACACCTCCTTGGTTTAGAATCATGTGTAGACCTAGAGCTAATCACCCTGGATAACAAAGTAGAACAAGTAGGTCTCAGTGAAAAATTCACCCTTCTGGATGAATTTCAGGATGTTTTCAAAGGTTCAGGTTGTGTTGAGGGAGAGTATAACATCAAGTTGAAGGCCAATAGTCATCCTACTATTCAACCACAAAGGAATGTCCCATAAGACTGATAGAGAAACTCAAGGGAACTATCAACAAGCTTGAAAGAAAAGATATTATTACCAATTAAAGTAGATTAGGACCAGTTACCTGGGTTAGCAATTTAGTAATCGTTGAAAAAGCAAACAAAACTCTGAGATTGTGTCTAGAACCACCAGATCTTAATGAAGCCATTGGAAAAAGAAGATTTCAAACCACCAAGTTTTGAAACAATTTTGAGTACTCTGAATGGTTGCAAAGTTTTCTCAGTTGTTGACGTGTCAAATTTTTATTGGCACCAAAAACTTACAGAAGAATCCTCATTTCTCTGCATGTTTAATTTGCCTTTTGGCCGATATCATTTTAAAAGAATGCCATTTGGTATTTCATGCACAAGTGGGGCATGAAGTGGCCCAGAAAACGGTTGAAAAACATTTTGGTAATATTTCAGGTGCATTACCAATTTTCTATGATATCATCANCAGTGACAGTGACAGTGACAGTGACAGTGACAGTGACAGTGACAGTGACAGTGACAGTCAACATAGCCATCCAAAGGAAAGATCTAAGATTCCATTAATACATGTTCATAAGCTAACAGTGGTTAGCTGAGTACCACTATTAAATATGCCACTTCCACTATGAAAAAGAACATTGAGAATTATTCTGTAAAAATAATTTACATAATAAACAAACTGCATTAACAGGGTTCATACTCTTTTAAGCTCGTCAAATTCCATGACTTTCCATGACCTTTTCCATGACCTTTTCCTTTTTTCCATGACCTTAAGTTTAACTGTCACTTTTGAAAATTCTCAAAACTATCCTTGTTTTAGGGTCAAATTTGCATTATTTTTTGCAATCTCTGGCCTTTGCCAAAATATGTGTAGTTCAAATTGCCCTGAGAGCATCTGCATGGGAGGCTATTGCTCAGTGACTCGCCTTTATTATAATTTTGTTCTTGTTTTGACATCTGCAGTGACAAACACACCAGGCTTAACTATTACTTTCCCTTACTTTCCATGACCAACAATTATATTCCATGACTTTCCAGGCCTGGAAAACAAAATTCTTGAATTCCATGACTCTCCAGGTTTTCATTGACCCATACAAGCCCTGATTAATTATAAAGTATTTAATAATAACTTTAACTCACATGTAACAATACTCACAGGAAAAGATGCTTTACACAGGAACTACAGAAGAAGTGGCCACAGCTTGCCCTTGTTGCATCCCTCAACACAGATTGACAGTATTCACAGATAAACTTGTCTTCGAGGTTCTGCTTGTCCCCTTCCAATATAGGGTAACCTGGCATTTTTGTTGCACAGAAATTATTAACTCAGCTCTGTGTAGCCACTGGTTTAGGAACTGGCTCTCTATACAGCCACACCAATGCTACAGCTTTGAACTGTAAATGGATGAGATACTCAAGTCCTGACATTTGAAGGAGTCTTAGAGGAAATTTGACTGCAAAATAGAAAGTCAAAAAATCAATACATTTATTTTGAGTTACGCTTAGTGAATAAGCAAAATGTCAAGGGCCTCTCCGCCCCTCCCCCAAGGAAAGACTCCTATAAAAAAAGGAGGGGGTTGCTCCTCTGAAATTTTGGAAAGAACCCCTAAGACGTACCAAGAGTCTGTTTTGTGGGCACACGGCTTGAATTTGTTTACCCCTAAGGTGTCAATTCTAACATAACACATTATTTCCTGTCATATGTTTTTTGAATGCTCATGTCATATTTTTTTGGGAAAAGTACACGAAGTGGTTTGAACAGCTTTCAAAGCACACAATTTCTAACAAACAATTAGATTATTATGGGCTCGAGATTTCTATCATGTGATAGAGATCGAGAGTGAGTAATTATAAATCTACTAGTGTAATCATAAATCTACCGAGTAATTATAAACCTACTGAGTAATTATACATCTACTAGACATTCAAAAATTTATCTAAATCCTCTTCAAAGATGCCAAGAAGCGGCTGTCATTTTGTTAACAAGAACACTACTGCCGATAGATAGCTAGTTAAGCATAGCCAATCAGAGAACAGCATTCATGATAGAGCACTAGTAGATTTATACCAAGTTACAATATACCAACATTTGTCTTGCTGAACCAATAGTCACAGTGGATTATGTGTCATGATCAGGCGCAGTTGCCTACACTTCTGACTAATAGTTATAGTATCTATACCACCTCCCTCAGTGGAGTCCTGGCCACTTACAAGATGTAGAAGCCTAATTGAAAATTACCCAACATTTCCTCACCAAAAAGGCCTGCATGTGCACTGCTGATTGGGTACTACAGCTTTACAGTTTTAGCCTGCAAGCACATAGATTATTTTTGCTTGTTAAAAAGTGACATCATGAGTCACTATTGCTAAATGTGTTTCAGAAAAATTGGGGTCATGCATGTATGCTCTGAATTATTTAGCTTCACTTGTTCCTGAAGGGCACTAATTTATATACGCTTTAATTGTTATTATATCATTATAGTGTTTGTATCCATTATAATGCGTGCTCTCATTGGCCAGTTCTGGGGCATTATTCTCCCGTGATGCCCACAGGCCAATTATAAGATGGGTCTGCAAAATCAAAGCAAAAAGCCACATAATAAACAACTCATTAACCTTGAACGTTCAGTCTTTACGGGAAAATCTCAAACCTTGGCCTTGCTGTATTGACCTTGCTATTGCTCAGTCAATATGGCAAGGTCTTGGTTTGAGATATTCCAGCAATGTCCTCACTCTCAGTCAATAAGTAGTTATCAGAAGGTTTAATCAGCAACTGTAGAAGTCTTAGGTGTGCACAGTTTATGCAATTAAATTTCACCAGGTAGAAGAATTTGGGACCTATGTAACTTGCCATAATTGTTTTCCTAATACAAGTTGTTTTAGCTCATTTCTCTCACAAGATAGTTTAATTGAGCTTTGAATTTCAGGGCTAGATCTCTAACAACATCTCTGGGTCTTTTTTTTGGTTCTTGTGCAGGTGGACTGTGCCCAAGATCCCTACTCAGTATTTTAAGTGTACTTTTCCTCTGGTTGGGTAAAACATGGCCTCTTCAAGGCGTTCAGTTAGTTGGGGTGCAGAGTGAAAAAAGGCGAGCGAAAAAATAGGGGAGAAGCACAGTGAGAGAAAGTGAAAGAACACCTGTGGGCAAACTTAACAAAAGGTCCTTCTGCCCACTTATAGACTGCCTACAGGGACCCGTAACACGACCGCAGGCTCGTGGTTTTCTGTTGTCAGCAGATGTGTTGAGAAATGATTCTCCAGAATTGTAAAAAGAAGATTGCTGAAAACGCCAAAACGACAAACAAATTGTAGATTGCCATCTGGACTCTGGATATACTCGTTCCGTGAAGCATGCTAATACCCTCTCAGGAGATCAAGAGGAATTGACTGGAGAATCACGGCATTCTTTCTCGAAGTAAAGCTACAGCTTTCTCTGATAAATAAGATAAATATGATATCCATGATAAGAAGCAACATGCTGTACTTGCAAACAGTTCAAACATCTGGGCCCTAATAACACAACATAAAAGTGTCCTTCATAAACAAGTGTGAAGCAAAGATAGGTCAAAAGACCGAAAAGTCTGGAAGAGGCTAGGTGAAACAAAGTAAGAGAAATATGTTTTCTCGCACACCACTGCGGCACTGGAAATAGGTCATGTGACCTTGATAGCTTAGGATACAGTTAGCTGATTGGTTAGCTGGCTGTTTATTTTGGTGATGGCGTTACATTGACACAATCTTGCTGCTGTGCATGTAGTGGTTTTCAATTTCTTTTTATAAAAGGCTGAAAAATCTCAAAACAGTTGGGAAGATCAGGCAAAATTATTTGATCTATGAAGACAACCTTGTCGCTGATGCTGATTTATACTACCTGTTAGGCTGAAGGATGAATGATGATGCGAAACAATGAGTGCCAAAGGCACAAGCTTCTGGAATGGTCTTGGGCCAATTGTCCCCCTCCCCCTGCCAGGAAGTGTTTTGGAGTTTAACTCCCTAAAATCCCCTTTCCTCTGTTTCTGTCAAGTTATTCTGACTGATTTCCATAAAATAGCAGGAACCAGCATGGATCTGCCCCTGCTTCTTGGCCTATAAGGATAAGCCACTTCTAAACCAAGCAGTTCCTGGGGAGGGTCTAAAAGAGTGGGTATTAACTTTTGGGTCAGGTCTGGAATAAGGAGGGAAAATGACATAGTTTTAGTCTAAAATAGGGTTAAAATTTCATGAAGCACACCACACACATGCACCCCACCAAAATTTTCAGGAAATACTGTACATCCCTGGGGTTCATGGGAATCAGTAATGAACAACTGCATGCAGATTGCAAGACAGCCGACATAATTGTCATAAATGCACAGTGAACAAACAGGAACACAAAAATTCCTTACTACCTGTAGTAGCTCACAGTAAAAAAGATATGGTTTGGATCCCACTGGACTCTCATAAAAAGGCTTTTAATGCTGGTGAATCCATTCCCAGCAACTGCATACACAGTTACATGTAAGTATGCAGTTATATTTTTCAGGCCAATTTCTTATAATAAATGGCTAAAAGAAATTATCTGGTAGACATGAAAGAAAAAATTGTGTAAATTTTCAATCGAAACAGTTTTCCCTCATTCAACATTTTAGAAAAAGAATTTGGTAAAATATATTCATGAGCAGTCTATTATTTTAGTGGTCATAATTATTGCAAAATTTGGATAAATTAGCATGCTTTCTTTCATCATCTGAAACAGCTTGACTATGATAAATCTACATGTAGTCTTAAGCTTATATTCAAACACAACACACAGTCCAGGACCTACAACCCATGAATGACAACCCACAACTCCTGACCCACCCTACCACCCATGCTAAAAAGCCTCACTGTATGGTGGCAAAAGAGGAAATGCACTTTCACATCTTTATTAATACAAAGTGGATTCTTGCATTGACATGTGCATCAACTATCATGTACTTGAAAATGAGCTTCTATGGGTGACGTGCGTCTCAGATAGCTTATCTCCCCGATGACCAATGTATAAAGTCTTAAGCTTAATATGAAAATATGGTTTAAATTGCACTTGAAACTGTTATGATAAGTTGGTTGCCCTGTGTAATGTATTGCTACCTGATCTTGAGGATCACATGTTGTGTAAAGAACTGCAATACACTCTTGAAGTTAAAGTGTGTAGACATGTACTTTTTTATACTCATAACATGGTACCACAGGGATCTCTGCAAAAGTGATTTAAAGAAAGCTTACTGACTCTCAACTCTGACAAAGAAAGTATCAAACCTCCCTCAGAATTGGATATTAATAGTCTCAACCTCACAGATGTGTGGAAGGAATGGAAGGAAGTGTGGAAATTGTATTGGATATTGAGTGGCCTTTCAGAAAGGACGATGCCATACACATAGCAACTATCCAAAGTATTCTTTAACACTCGAGAAAGCCATCAAACTAT